GCTGTGCTGGTCGGATCTACTATAATTCTGGGTCCCATCAGGATCTCAAGATGCCCATCCATCTAAAGATGCTGTTCTCCGTTTGGTACCTAACGAACACTGAAGTATGAGGGAGCATCTCTTAGTGTTTGTTTCACCGATCGTTACAGAGTGCGTTCGTTTTGTGGGCAGATGTTTTTATACAGGGATGGGTTTTTTTAAAAGTGTAACTAGAAAAGCTTTCTTGGAAGTCCGTGAGGGCAGAGAGGAGAAATGTGTCGGATGCGCAATCCCATCCTCCCCAGCCAGCAGGGTCCTTGGCCCCCGGGATGGGAACCGTGGCACTTGGCAGCCCGACAGAAAAGAGATAGAATCAAAATTGGGTGCAATGGACACAGCAGTGAGAGGAGAACAGGCCCCCAAAGGAACGGTTATTCAGCTGTGCTTCGGCGATGCCTCTCCCGTTCTTTGGTACGCTCCCATGGGAGTGAGTCAGGGGAGCTAACTTGTGATTAGGCATGGCTAGAATGAAAGCATTGCTTTCTTCTTTCCTTTCCTCCTTTTCATGCAGCCCCTCCAATACGTCGCGGGATGTCATTTAGAGCTTCGGGTCTGTGCTTGCAGAAGCCCTCTGTGGCTTTCTGCAAGAACTTGAAAGCAGACGCCGCTAAAGTTTAAAAACACATATTGTGAGAAGCGAGGTGAGTTTGGAGCTCCTGGCACGAGGACGGGGTCCCCCTGCCCTGACATGAGGGGCTGGACCCCCAGAGACCCCCATACCAACTGAGCATGCTCAGTGACTGAACACTGCGGAGTGTCTGGAGGGGGCTGAGGAAAAACCAAAAGACAGAGAGACGGAATGGAGTACCCAGGAGGCGGGCCTGGCTGGCTGGGGCAGCGGTGGCGCAGCCCACGCTGAGGCGTCCCACGGATGCCTGGCAGACCGTACCCAGGGCTGCACGGTGAAGTCCCACACAGGTAAACCTTGCTGCGAGGATGACCTCCTCCCTGTTCGCCCCACGCAGCCGTATTCCTGAGACGACCAGGCTGCAACCTTCTCCTCCTGCCTGGGGGTCCGGTGCTGCCTGGGCACGCGAGCATAAAAGCACCCCTAAATAATGCATTGAGAACGGCTGCGTTTGCTCCGGCAGCCCTGAAGCCTCCGCTCACAGCGAGCCAGGGCTGCGAGCGGCAAGTTGCTCCCAGGAGAATGTAGAGCTGCTATTAGATGCGCCCCTCAGCCTTTCCCGCATCCGCCTGAATGGAGAAGGCACTCTGGGTTCATTCTCTTCTCCGGCTTAACTTCGGCACCTGCCTCTCTGCCTTGCAGTCCAGCCTGTATTTTCGTTTTTGCTTTGTCAAGGAGCCTATATCCCTTCGCCCACACTGCCTGCCCAGCCTGGGCCTCCACCCTACTTTTAACAAGCCAGAAGCAGCTTCGGAGCACAAGTTCCGCTTTGTCGCCACGCCGCGGGTGCCCAGGATTGCTGCTCTCTCTGTGAGGCCTTTTGCAGATTTATCCATTTCATTTAAGACTTTGCTCGGCCGCTCCTTCAGGGCAGGAGTCCCTCCATGACTCCTGGCTCGTTGAGCGGACCGCCTCATTCCAGCAAAGCAAACAGTTGGATCGGATGTATTGCTGTCTTGCAGCCAGGCACAGAATGGGCGAGTGAAGCAATATAATAAATCGGGAGTCCCGTCCCTTCCTCTGGCACGAAGCTTGCTGTGGACCTGTGCGATACAGGCCACCTGGCCCCGGTCTTCCCAGCTACGGCGAATCATGCAGCCGTTCTGTTTCCATTACGGCCATTTCCGTCTTTGCAATGTGAGCACCTGCCCTTGCAGCGTTTTCGGGGACCTGCGTCCAGCTGGCAAGCTCAGGCCCCATGTACAACATGCAGGCAACGTCTGTCTCCCCAAAGGGATGAGCCTTCCGTCTTAAATCCCCACAATGCATTTGTTTCGACATGTGCCTCGGTTGGTTTCGCTCTCCTCCAGACACACACGTCATCAGAAAGAAATCCGTCTTTCTGGGAACCAGAAACTGCAGCAAATTTGGAGAGCGTCTGAGTAAGAAAACCCGCAATGCCAAATCGAAGCAGGACGAGTCCCACCTCCCCACAGGCTTAGATTTCCCCCCGAAGAACGACAGGCAGGACCTCCCCGTCCCAGTCCTCAACAACCCAGGCACACACACACCCCGATCTGCAAAATATTCCCCAGGCAGGCTGTTTCGTGAAGAATGTGTTGTCCTATTAACAGCAAGAGGGTGAAGGAAAAGACAGCGGATTCTGTAAAATGCAACCCGAGTACCGAGGAGTCACCATTTCCTTTCTCAGCCTGTTTAATTTCATTTGACCCTTTCCGAAGAGTCAAAGAAAAATACCTTTGCAAGTATCTACGAAAGGGCCGATGAAGGTTGCACTGTGAAGAGCTCAGTTTTGGTGCTCCTGCCGGCCAGACTCGTTTCCAGAGTATTCCCTTCCATCCAGTCCTTCGTTACCGCAATAGCCCATCACCACACTGAGCTGGCTTGGGGGCCTTCCCCCCACCCCCCCAAGACGGTTTCCTAAACTATTGTTTCGCTTGTGGATTTACCGAGAAGCCCAACGTTTTGGGGAAGGCATGGAAGACTTGTGTGTCATTGGAGGGGCTTAGCCAGCATCAGGTGCTTCCAGGTGAAGGCCACCAAGGATCCAGAACGCCAGGTGGTAGAGCGAGCGGCCGATGGATGATGCAAGCGGTTTTCGTGGCGCAGCCCCTCACCCTCAAAGCCCCAGCACTGCTTTGGGTTTTAGTCGGTTTTCATCACCCCCCTGCCTCCCCTTGCGGTAGCTGCTATTTTGGAAGCAGCGGTGCAAACCTCACAGGAAGGCGTGTGTACTGCAAATTGCTAGCCGGCCTGCAAATTGAAGCCTCCTGGGTCAGGTCAGCCCAGCCCAGCTGTGTGGCATGGCGCCTGCAAAGCAGCGGGGGCTGAAAGCTAGGCGGCGGGGGGAGCAGATACACCATCCGGGGTTTCTCCAGACAGCCACGCTCCCTTCCCCTTTCCTGACCACGGGCCGTGGGGTGGCTTCGTGGCCTTCGAGCACTTCCCCATTCTAAGAAATGGAAAGGCCTCTTCTGAGTCACTAGCGGGAAGTTCAAGCGGACACCTGCTGGTGTTTATCTGGGCCCTTTCTGCCTTTGACCTCATCCAGCCCCGAGAGGCCCCAGGAGCTTCCCCAAAGAGGCCGAAAGCACTTTGGCGATCCTGCCAGGAGGGCTGGCTGCGTTGTTTGGGATTCTCGAGTTGTACATACATTAAGGGAAGTGGGCTCAGCAGGAGAGACAAGAATGCTGTTCTAGCCTTCAGGGGCATTGCCCGAACGAGCACCGTCTTTGCCAACGAGCCACTCTTTGCATGCTCAGAGAAACATTCTGCAGTCATTGTGTTTACTGGGTATCCTTTGGAGAGTTCCTTTTGGAAAGATGTGGTCTGCTGCCTTGAATGTGTGAAGGGAGGAAAGCTTGGCCAGGACACTGCCAGAGCGAGTAATCGGTTGCAAAACACCCATTTCCCAGAAGGCAAACTGGTGACTTGAGGTCACGTTCAAAGCAGACGTGAGACTTGAGCTCCAGAACACAAACCAGTCGTCTGAACCCAACTGAAGATGGTGCTGAACATTTTTCAGCGTGTGGTCTCCCACTTATTTCGATTTTAGAAACCGAAAAAATAAACAGAAAACAAGGAGAGGTGAGAGGAAGGTGGGCTTTGAGGTGTGTCTGGGGGTAGACCGGGTGCCACACTGCCAGCCCCCGTATTTCTTCATTTCCCTACCGCCTCCCCCCCGCCCCGGCCGAAGCTCCCTAGGAAGTTGACCACAGTCCAAATTATCCTTGGGGGGCACTCAGACAGACTCTGCTTGGTCCGTAGCCCTCCAGGATCGTGCACATGCAGAATCTTCCCCCTCGGTCGCTCCAGATCCTTGAAACTTCAGATTTTCAGACCAATTTCAAATTTCAGACCAATCCAGAGTGTGTGGTCAGAAGGGGAGTGACTCTTGGTGGCAACCTCGGGGTGGGCAAGGAAGGCAGGGATGCCTTAAGCCCCGAAGTGGGAAGAGGAGGGCAAGCTGGCTGGCGGGAATGGCACGGCCCGTGGCCCAAGAGGCGGCCACTGCACCCAACCTGGAATTAACGCTGCTGACAACGGGATGTCCTGTTAAGGCACAGACCTTAAAAGTGCAGGGCTGGGACACTGACCCGCCTTAGCCAGCGTGGCCAAGATGCAGGGACGGGGGGAATCATGGTCCGACCGCAGCTGGAGGCCCACGGCTCAACCACCCGTGTGAAAGCAGAGCACTAAGGCCAGGCTTCTGCTCTGCGGGGTTTCAGGTGGGGTCGGCCCCGAGGTTGAGCCGAGCTTCCGTTGCAAGAGCACCGCTGGGCTGGACGAAAACCTGCAACACAACGCCAGCCCTTTGCCTTCCCGGATTCTCGTGGGGCAGCGGCACCCCCTTTGTCCTAAAGACAACTCAACAGCCACACCTCCCCGTGGAGTCCAGCAGTAGCCTTGTTCCGTATCCACACCCCCATTTGGGCAGGTTTCACCTCCGTCGGGAGGCATCTTTGGTAAAACCAGCGCATCTTGATGGCCCATCTGAGTAAGCCATCACAACCTACTTTCCGATGCAACAGAGACCACTCACAACAGAATATTCCTCCTGGGGACATCCGTGCCTGCGCAGCTACTGGGGTACCTTGATTTGGAAAAGTACCCCTGTTCCAAGGACACAAGCACGTAATGCCCCCTTCTCCACCGTGGCAGCAAATCCGAGCCTTCTGGAAGTACCGCAGAGTTGATCCAACACGCTAGTTGAGGTTTTGTACCCGACTTTCTCCCTGCTTGAATTAAACTTCTTGCAGGTGGAAAGAGAAGGGAAAAAAAAACCAAGTGACCCCCGTGCTGGGAAACACTCGCTCACACGAGTAAAGATCACGCCAACTTCAAGCTGGGAAACCAAGCGGCCCGAGACAGCTCATGTCAAACTGCTTTATTACATCTTAAATAACAGTACATTTTAATATAGTATCTATCTGGCATCCAGCTTTCTTGAAGTACACTGACTTTAAAATTAAATACAAAAGGTGAACGATACAAGGGTGTGGAAAAAGCTCTACAGGATCCATGAGCGGGGTGGGTGGGGAAGGTCTTTAAAAATTTGAAATGCCAAATCCAGGCCTGAAAACGCACGATTACAGCACATTTTGTACAGGATGTTTGCAGAGAGAGGGAAGAAACCCAACATGGATAAAAGCCACTGCTGCAGCGAAGGGGGGGGGGGGGAATTCTGGTGCAGCGAAAGGGAGAATTGAAGTTTGACGAAGCAATTTGCTGTCCAAATGCTCTTGAGGGCTTCCCCCCCCCCCTTTCACTTTCAGAACACAAAGCCAGGAAAGGCAGCTTTGTTAGGGGGAGAAATCCTGATCTGATAAGCCAACTGGCAACTGGGAATTTCGGCCCTTTTCCTCCCTTCTCCACCCCAGAATCTTAACTACAGCAATTGTTTAACCGGGTGCTTTCTTTCTCTCTTTCCTTTAAATTGAGAAGAGTGCTATCGCACCACTCCAAAATGCGCATGGCTTGGTAATTTTCATCCTCCATAGGCTTTCCGTATGCTCAGAGTAGTAGCGATACATGAGATCAGCAATGGTTATGACTTTTTTCTCTTTTTCTTTTTTAGAAAATGAACAGGTTATTTCTTGAGAGAAAACACATAAGGACGCATTAGTCTCATATGCACTCAAGCATTTCTACAGCATGCGATTCTAAAGAGTAATCCAACCAAATATGGCAAACCAAAACATTTTCTTCTTTCCGTTCTTCTTGTTTAAGATCATTATTTTCAAAAACATTGATTTGTACATTGTTTCATACACAAAGAATTGATGTAATAGCCAAGCTCTTTCCAACTCTTCCCCTGTCCCGCCCCCCAAAACCAAAGAATCTTGTTTGTTGAGATTATGGGGTAGGTTCGGCTACAGACTGCCCTCCAGTGAGGCATCAGAAAGTCAAACTATGCCTAAATAAAAATGAAACGAAATGAAATAAAACGGAGCCATGATAGGTGAGGTGGGGTGGAAAAAACCTAGTCTGCATGTTGTTACCCATAAAAGGTGAAATATTTTTTTTTAAACGAACATTCAATGCCATGTACAGCGTGTGCTTGGTTATCTTACTTCTTAACATTATCCCTATATATGCAATATTTGTGCAACAATTTGTGACACTAAAGACAGAAATAAAAAAAGAATTCAGGGACTAAATTTACAGCATTAACAATCCCAGAAGCATCTGGGCTTGGACTCCCTTGTCTTGGCTCAACAATGGACTGTAAAAGCAAACTGCATTTAAAAAAAAAAAAAAAGAGGAAAGGAAATGGAAGTATGGACGAAAAGTAGATAACAACCCCGCTACAAACACGACTTCAAAGTTTGAAAGTGAGATTAAAACAATGCCCTCCCACCCCAACTCAGAGTCAGAAAACCAGATCAATGGTTCGCAATTTTTAAACTACAGTGAAAGTTAAAAGTTGTCTGCTTCACAATGTATTTTTCCTCTTTTTTTGTCTGGACATGCTTACTCAAGTGTTTTTCTTTAGCTTTCTAGACAAAAAGTGGTCCCAAAAGGAATGCACAATTTTACTTCTTTTGCTATTTTGTATATAACCACAGAATTTCTTCTTTTAGAGAGAATTGTGCTCTTCATTTCAGCAACGGGAGATGTGAGAGGTCTTGCCTTTGGGTGGCTGGGTAGCAACTGGGGGAGAGGTGAAGGGGTGTCCGAGTTAGTACAGTTGGATTGGATACATTATTTTAAACTTTCAACGTTGGAAAAGTCTTCCAGTCAGTGTGGAGTCCACCGCTATTCTGGCATGGGACACATACAAAAAGTTTCGTTAAGCCTTGAGGGTATCACGGTCACCCCCAGCTGCTGAGCGTGCCCGCCTGCCCCGCCGAACACCCTCTCTCTTTACACCCTGTCAGAGGCTGTCTGCAAGATACGGCTGCTCGGAACCGGCTCAGGCATCGACACGGCATGTGGCCGCGTTCCCCCAGCTCCTTCAAGGGACTGAGATCAAGGATGCCCTACGGGATTCCCCCACTGGAACGGGGTTTGCGTGCGGCCGCCCCATGCGAGTGCGGCCGAAATAAGTCGAGGCGGCGGAGGAGCCGTGCCGTGGGGGGCTGGGGCTGTTTCGTGCGCGGGGGAAAGGCACCTGGAGGTGCCGAAGCGAAAGGCGAGGTCTGGAACCGGCAACACGACCCTCCCGGCTTACATGTGCGTTTCCCTTGCCCGCCCGCCCGCCCGCGGTGTCACGGTACCTACAGACTTTAGTTCCAGATCTTGAGGAAGCTGTCCCACGATCCTGTGGCCACGGCCATGCCGTCATCAGTTACTCCTAAGCAACTGACACGGTTGTCGTGGCCCGCGAGGACACCTGGAGGGGGGGGGGAGAGAGAGGGAGAGAGGTGAAAAGCGGGGCGCTTCCGGGTCCCCGCGTCGGGTGGCAGCTCTCCCAGTGCAGAGCATCTGGGAGACAGTGGCTCTCACTGGACCGTGTGTGCTCAAACCCCCGTTTCCAGCAGCACCTGCTCCAGATGAGAGAGGCTTTCTGACCGAGAGGCCCCTAAGAACTGCCCTGCCACGTCTGGAAGCTATTCGGGGCGCAAGGGAGAGCCCTGGGGAAGCTCGTCCCATGGCAGGCGAGAGCTGTTCCTCACTGAGGGGGGCGCTTCCACACCCGGGACCTCGGTGGGCTCATTCCAGCGCAACGACTGCACTCGGCCACGGCCCAGGTGGGGGGAAGCGAAGGGGCAGACCGGGTGGGATGGCTCGCCACGGCTTGGCCACGGTGCAGTGTGGGAAGAAGGCGCTCCTTCAGGTAACGCAGACCCAAGCCATTTCGGGCTTTGTGGGTCTTCGTCGGCACCTTGAATTGGGCCCGGACTTCAACTGGCAGCCGGAGAGAGGACCGGCGTGATATGAGAGTACCAGCCGGTCCCCATGAACATCCTGGCAGCTCTGTTCTGAACCAACTGAAGCGTCCAGACCGTCTTCAAGGGCAGCCCCACGTAGAGGGCATTACAGCAATCCAACCGGGAAGTCACCAGAGAGTGTGTCCCCATTGCGAGGCAGCGCTCATGTGGGTAAGGACGCAGCTGGGGGATCAGCCGGAGCGGAAGGCGAGCGCTCCTCGCCACGCTGCCACCCGAGACCCCAGGGACGGCTCTGGGCCAAGCGGCGCCCCTTGACCTGCGAACCCCTTCCGTGAGGACAGCTCCACGCCTGGCTGGAGCGTCTCGCCATGGCCAGCGATCCCGAGTGGGGCCTGCACAGCCGGTCCTTCTAGTCTGGCCGCCGTTTCAGGAAGCGTCCAGAAGGACTTTCTGGGGGAAATATGCGCGGTGCAGCCACCAGGGCGCCCATCTCGAAAGTCCACTGGAGAGGAGAAGCGAGAAGGAAGGGCCGGGCCTGAGCCAGCAGCGCCAGCACTTCGAGCTGGGACGTTCTGAAGTCCAGCTGGGGCTTGGAAGCGCGAAAAGCCAAGCACGCCCCAGGATAATTACGCTGCCACACCGAAGGCAAAGTCCAGCGACTGCCGCTGCCGCTCCACCCCAGGGAGCTTCGAGTTCAAGGCGGAGGGAGGGAAAGCGCATCCTCTCCGGATATCCTAAAGCGAAGAAGCCACCCGAGAGCGCGAAGAAGCAAGGCTGTGGCACGCCGGCAGATCTCCCTCCGACGCCACCCGCCTTTCGCTTCCCTCTCGCCAGGCTTGGCACAGTCAGCCAGCGGCTCAGAACGTGTGGCTTTTAGCCAAGCCACACCTGGGCACCGACGGCTTGAAAGAGCCCCATTTCTCCTCTCTTGATCGCAGGCTCAGCCTGGCTGCGATCGCTGGAGGCACAATAAACCGGAAGAGGCGCATCGAGACAGACACTGAGCGGCACCTTGGCTGGGGGAGCCTGCTCCGTGGGGCTCGTGCACAAAGGCTTCCCCCTCGGCCCACTTCTAAATTCTGGCAAAGAAAGGCGTCAAATCGAGCAAGCTAAGAGCGAAGGAGCTGGGAGGTATTTTTAGCTTCTTCAAGGGGGAGCACCCACAATAAACGCGATTCGGGGAAGGAAGGTTTTGCTGAGCAGAGTTCAGATCATAAAATCAGTGAGTTGGCTGCTGCCACCATCTTCCCATCACACCACGGGAATTCCCAGAGGGAATCTAAGTAGCTCCGTGTTTTTCTGCACAGTGTAACTGCCAACTCTTTACCTGACTCATCCTGAGGAAATACCATCACATGAATATCAAACAGGTGCCATTTGCTAAGATTTCCAGGGCGGGGGGGGGGGGTCATATCCAGTTTACTAGCAACCAGGCAAGAAGATACATGCTCACAAAACATTATAGAATAAAAGGACTGTGACCAAGTCCATCCAGAATGGTGTGGCCGAGAAGCAAAGGCCACCCTGCAAGGGTGGGAAGTCTGCATCACGGTCACACAATGGCACGCTACAAGATACTGGAGTTCTGATTTTCAAGAAGCGTGTTTCTAGTCCTCATGAGTGCAGGGAAGAGTTTAGAAATGCGCTGGGTGCAGAGAGCTTTTGTGCCACTTCCGCTTCTAGGCCCGAAGATGTGCCCTCAACCCCCTACTTGGGGGCAAGCTTATTTCTTTTTTGGCCTTCTCCTGCCACACAAAATATTTACCAAAATATTTATGAACAGATTATTCAGCTTGAAGCCCATGCTGGTAAACCTGCACCACCTAAACGCTATCTTTAGGTGCGAAGAGCAGGTTAAAGGAAGGCCTTCCCCAAATGTTCAACCAAAGTCATTACCACCAGTGTGTGCCGATTGCCCAGGCCGTCTTCCCACCCCCCTGCCGCTGCATCTGGGAACCTCCTTTGCTTTTTCCCCCCGTCCCGCTTTTTCGCCAAAAACATGCCAAACGCTTACCTGCTCTGTCAGCTTTGAGCGTGTCCCAAACATTACAGTTGAAGTCATCATAGCCAGCTAGAAGAAGACGCCCGCTCTTGGAGAACGCTACAGAGGTGATGCCACAAATTATATTGTCATGGGAATACACCATCAGCTCCTGGTCAGCCCGGAGGTCAAACAGCCGGCACGTGGCATCGTCGGATCCGGTGGCAAACGCGTTGCCGTTCGGGAAGAACTTAAGGGAAACAGAAACGGACGAGGGAGGTCAGCCAGGCTTCAACAGCAGCCCAAAAAGTACCTCCCTGTCCATCCAGGAAGTCTCCGTAATAACTGCATGGCATTTCAGGCGCGCGTGTGTGCGCGCCCCTCTTAAAACCCCGTCTGCCCGCAACGTTTGTACGTACGCAGATGGCATTGATGTCGGACTCGTGGCCGGTGAAGGTCTGCCGGCACATCCCTTCTCGGACATCCCACAGCTTCGCAGAGGCATCGCAGGCACCAGAAACAAAACACTTGGAATCCGGAGCAAGGGACAGGCTCATGACGTCGCCGGTGTGGCCGGTAAACGTGGTCGTTTGCTGGCCCGTTTCGATGTCCCAGAGGGCGCTGGAAGAGAGACGGGTTCAAAAGGAACGTGCAGGAGTCGGTGGCAGGAGGAGCTCTTCCTGCCTCCGAGTAAGCCCACAAAGGCTTCTGCCCGGACACAGCTGCTAGCATTTCAAAAGCTGCAAGACACAGTGTTACTTTTGCTCCTTACGCAAGCCCTCCAAACAGCAGCAGTCTTCTTTTTAGCGGTCACACTCACACATAAAGATCAACGGACCGGCACCCCAGGAAGAAGTTTAGCTTTCTTGCTCTCAGCCTGGTGGGCCGGCCTTAAAACTTGATTTTTTTGAAAACTTCTAGGATCAGATGTGATTCCGAGGTGCTCGATGTCTATGTTCCCTGAATAACGACTGGACTCCTTTGTTCCTGCCCTTAGGAGTACCCAGAGAAGAGCTGTGTGCATGGAAACATATCACGAGTTCTCCCTGTAAGCAGACAACTAGCAGTGCAGCGCCTGGCTTGAGAGGCAACCTTCCCCTGGGCTCACTTCTGCCATCCCAAGTGTGCCTCCTCTTGCTAAGTAACCCGAAGTGCAACACGACCGAGTCGGCTCTCTCGTTCCACTTTACTCTCAGACCAGCCCTCAGGTGCTGCAGGGTCTCTGATACCTGCTCTCAACAACCAGGAAGGCACAGGCGGCCCCATCCAGCACAGACCAATTCTCTCGCAGCACGCGAGAACAAGGGCCAGCGCCCGAGGACTTACCAGGTGGTATCTCCGGAGCTGGTCACAATTTGATTATCGTCCACAAAACGGCAACACGACAAGTAGCCTGGGGTGTGAAGAGGACAGAGAGAGCAAAATGCGATTCAGCGATGCTTCTGTTACTCGCTGCCACCTTCTCTTCAACACCTGGGCAGAGGAGTGAGCGGCCTGCAGGGCCCCAAGCATCTCAGCTCCCTTCGGGTGACGTGGCCCAGCGAACGATCACGACATTGATCCCGAAGAGCGGGCTGACGACGTCCTCCACCCGCAGCCCCTGAAACCCGTCGTGAGAAGGGCCAACACACCTCCCGCAGAATTGCAAACGCGGCATGCGATGGCTCAGCTTTGCAAGGGGAGGTGCAGTTCAGTGGAAGGGCAGCTTTCCTTCCCCCATCCAAAATGAGAAGCTGAGAAAAACCCCCGTTTTCTGAACCTGCCTCATTCCTTGCAGCTCACGGTAATTTGAGAGCTTCCTAAGCAGAGGTTCCCTGAACCATCTGGGTGAAGGCGACCGCAGTCTGGCTGCCCGGCGAGTGCATGCCTATTCTCCAAAGAAATTTAGCAACTGTTCCTGCTCCCGGGGAATCCTGTGGCTCGCAGTTCAGTTAGAGGTAGGGATCTCCAAGAGATCCGCCTGCTTATCAAACTACAGTTCCCAGGATTCTCAAGGGAGAACTGATAAAAACTGACATGCAAGCAACTGAATGTTATAAATAAGGCCTGAGCCTGTGCTGACTTTATCTTTCTTAGAGCAGCCATAAACCAAATAATTTCTATTCAAGTTAGGGACTTTGAACTAAGTGAAATATGTATTCTAGGCCTAAAAACTCAGAAAAGCTACACTGGACTTTCACATCTATTAAAAGAACCCCCAACAACTAGGTCATGACATTGGAAATCAAGAAAATGCTCGAGATCGTGCCGTCATGTTCACTACAAAAAAAATTTAAAAATCCATTTGCGCAGTGTTGATTTTGGCAATGTTTGCTTCTTCCAAAGGACCACTGCCTCCACTTAGGGAAGTGAGGCATAGAGATTTATGATGCCAAAGGAATCCATTAATACTTCTAATGGCGATGTAACTGTTTTCAAAACAGGGCATGACTATATTTGTCCACAGCATCTAACACAAAAGACCCCCGAGCCACAGAGAGGAACGGGTGTCGCTAGGCTGGGGAAAATTCTGATCTGCAAGACGGCGAGTGACACGTCAGCACACGGAGGGAATCTGTCGCTGCCGCAAGGCTTGCATGTTCTGGGACGGCTTTAGAAAGACTTCCAAACGTGACTCCTTCGTGATGTTTCCGCAAGACTGTGGCACGGGACCCTTAAATGCAACACCTTGCCAAACCAGCGGCTGACTGGCCTCTCAGCGAGCTGGCCAGAGGAGGTATTCTGTGGATGCTGCATGGGAGAACTGATCTGAGAGAACTGACAGCTTCAGAGAGCAAGCCCAGGTGGTACAAGCACCAGGTCTGGCTGTCAAACAGCACATCTCTCTGAAATGCACTCTCTAGCTACAGGGTACCTCTCCAGAGTAAACGGAGTAGCAATCACTCAGTGAGTGGCTATTGTTAGCTGTCCCGGGATGTTCTGTAGGGGATGGGATAGAAAAGCTCTTAATAAATAAATAAATGAAATAAAATCACCCCCCCCCCGCCAAACCAAAGGAGCTCCCGTTTTCCCCACCTACCCCGCGTCAGTTCTGCAGTGGGCACGGCACCTGTGCTTGCTGCTCGCCACATGAATACCTGTGCACATTGATTGTCAGGAAATGTCACCACACAAGCAAGAGGAAGACAGATTGTTCAGGGGAGGCCGGGGAAGGCGCAGGGGCCGGGCAAGCAGGCGGCTGAAACGCGCCTCGCGCGGAAGCCAGCGCTTCTCACCTGTGTGGCCGGCCAGCTCGCGGCTCACGCGGACGTTGCCTTCGCGTGTTTTCAGGTTGTAAATGGAGCAGATGTTATCGAGGCCACCGCAAGCCACGTAGTTTCCAGATGGGGCGTATGCGCAGGTCATGACCCAGGAGGATCTCAGGGGAATGGCGTGGACCTGGAGCGAGCAAGAGGACGGTCAGCCGCCCGTCGGGCAGGTTCCGCGGCCGCGGGGATCGTCCGCTTGCTCGGCAGGCCAAGCGAGGCGAAGCGGAGAACCGCCTCGTGACAGACATTAGGAGAACCCCCCCAGGAAATTCTCCTGCAGAAACCCCGCTGGAACAGAACAGGAGTGCCGCAACATGTTGTGTCTGCATGACGCACAGCAGATGGACTGGGACCCGCTTGAATATTCCAGCTCCGCTACCCCGACGTCTTGCGCCAGCACTTCTGGCGATGACTCATTTCTGCAGTTCTCAGGGTACAATTTTATGCAATTTCCCCTCACATTCATCATCCCGGTATTTGCGACAACTCCTCTTGCATGCGCTGCGGGGAAAACCCTCCCACTGTTCTAAACGGAAAACTGGCTTTGGGACAGAAGCTGAGAGTGGGGAGCCCACCCCCAGTTTAAGCTCTGGGTTCCCCCAATGACTGCAAGCAGAGCTTGAAGGTAGCTTTGGAGTCAGTGCTCGATGCAAGAATTGCTGCTCCCGGCCAGCATCCCTTTTTATTAAAAAAAACAAGTCCAGGAAGCTGGGATTTCTCCAGCACTTCTGCAGGAAGAACTGCTCTGCCTGCCTTTCTGAGGGGGCAGGGTTTGGGGGTGTCCCAGGGCGGGGAAGTGGCAGGAATTCCGTCTTTCCTTCTCCTTCCCTCGAGCTCTCAGGTGCCTTGACTAGCTGGCCCAAATCGGTGGTCAGGCTGAGAGCAGGGAGATGAGACCTTTGCCCTTGCTTCCTCCCCACCCTCCGAAGGATGCCTGTGAGCCCTTTAAGTTGCAAGGTTACGAATGCTCCACCTGGATGGGGCCCCAAGGGGCATTTGGCAAGTCGCCATCCAGCGAGCTCAGTCCCCCTCCTGCCTCCTTTACAGCCGGGAGGCCCCAGATCCCACCTGAGCACCTCCGGGCAGTGCTAGAAAGATTCTTGCTTAAACCCCTGGAGAACCGTTGCTGCGGTCAGCGCTGACGACCTGGAGCCAGATGGCCCCGTAAAGCAGGCCGCACCCTGTGCTTCTAAGGAGTCCCCTGAGATTCTGAATGGAACAATCCTGCACCTTTTTTAAAACAGCTCTTACATTTCCTTGATTTAGAAGGATGGAAAAACCTGGCACTGAGCTAAACGGGATGCCCCATGGCTAAACTATAAAGATCCAGGAGACCATCTTATGCAGTGGAGAGCCAGTGCCGCATGGTGTTAGAGAGCTTGGACAGGAAACCTGGGAGATTCGGGTTCGAGTCCCCACTCGGCCAAGACGTTCACCGTGTGCCTTTGGCCCGGAGACTCACTCTCTGCCTCACCCAGTCTGTTTAGAAGAATAAAAATGGGAGCTGTGCAAGCTGTCTTGGCCTCCTCGCAAGAGGAACAAAAGGTGGGCTATAAATGCAATGGAATCAATATCACCCGTGAGGAAATATTACGACTGTTTCAGACAGAAACCTCGCGCACAGCTCCCAGCATATTCCAACCGGCCCGGGAACTGCAGGACGCCTTTCCTGCCTAGGGCGGCACCCTTGCTCACCAAAGCGTTCGCCTGCAAGTTGGCGGGACATAAAATGCCTCCACTTGGTTGCTCATCCTGCATCGTTCTGCTTCCACCTTCTCTTCCAGGACCATCCTCACCTTCAGCGCAAGGGCAAGGCAGCTGAGCTACAGTCGCCGTGCCGCTGGAGGTATTTTTAGCTGGGACTCTGTATGTGCGATCCAGCCAGGGACGCACGAACATATGGATCTGATGCTACATTCTGGTGATCACAGCACTGTCTTCCAATTCCTTATGTCCGATGAAAACACTCGACGGACAAAGGTCTCCCAACCCTCACAGGGTGGAGGGGGGTACACAAGGGAATGCGAAAAACACAGAACAACTGCCCGTGATTTGAGAACAGTCGAGCAATCAGCTATTTTTTGAGGATTCCCCCCAATAAAGTGGTTTCTCAGCTTGAGAGGTTTGATCTTGGGGGAATGGAAGGCATGTTTGTGTGCAGTGGAGGTGACCTTGGATGGAACAGCGATGGCCCCAGTGTCATTTGGTTTCACAAACTGGGCTGTGTGTGGATGCCCAAAGCAAAGGAACGGTTTGGGGATGCAGACGTTCACCCCCTTCCTCTTCAGTGAAGCTGGAAGGCTGTGCACTTTTCTCTTGAAGGCCCTCTATCCCCTACCAGCCTCCTCATCACAGTGAAAGAATGGATTTTTCACCTTCTCTTTCAACACAAGCACGGGGCGAGCTGAGCTGGATTAGTTAGTCCGGATTAATTAAATGCAGCGTGCCAAAGTACGGGTGGCGTCAGGGAGGGACAAAACTTGCTGGAAAGAAGGGCAGGCAAGGATCGAACTTGGCTGCGGGGCTTGGAGAAGGTGAAGCGGGAAAAAGAAGAGGGCGAGCGGGAAGGAAGACTGTGAGCATTTCCCCCGTAAAACTTGCAAGCAAACGGGAGGGCCTGACTGTTTGGTGTTTCCCCAGACTCTCCAGGGGCCGAGAGCGAAGCAGCAGGGAAATGTTTCTGGGGGGACTTTGCTTGCCTCCCCACATGAGCAAACCGGTTCTGGCTACCAGGGACGCCCCGTCTGAATCTGCAGCTCCCGGTTTCTCACCCAGCAATGCCTCTCATGCAGGAACCACGTGGAAGCTGAACGTTTCCGTGTGCTGAGCAAACCTGTTCTAATCGGCACGGATGCGCACACGCACCCACACCCAGGCCGCCAGGGCACCTCCGTGGAGCAACGCCAATCTGGCACTTCTCCGCTTTGCCGCACACAGCAGGGGGCCTACGAACAATGGCTGGCCGTTCAGGCCTGCCTCTTCCTTCCACACCAGCACCAAAAATGGAACCAGTCCGCATTTCCCTTCCCGTATGAGCCGCCTTGTCAGAAAACAAAAGTGAAACTGTTTGAAGGGCTCATGTGTAATTGTTTGAAGTGCAAGTGCTTGACGGGCTGGTGTGTTAAGCCTCCTTCCTTTGGCTCAGTTCCCCTCTTGTAGCCAAGTCGTGCTAAAACTCTGTTAATTAAACGGCTTGGGTCCTGGCTACCTGAACGAGCGCTTACGTCCGTATATGCCCGACCGCCCTTTGAGATCTATGGGAGAGTCCCTTCTCCGGGAACCCTCCATGAAAGAAATTAGGAGAGTAAGTACTCGGAGGAGGGCTTTCTCTGCGGTGGCGCCCAACCTATGGAATTCACTCCCCAAAGAGGTCCGCCTGGTGCCGTCGTTACTGGTTTTTCGGCGCCAGGTAAAGACCTTTTTATTTAAACATCATTTTAATTGTTAAAACATATGTTCTGGCCAGGGCAACTTCTTCTTCCTTCTCTTTCTCCTCCTATATTTTTATTTACTTAATTTATACTGATAATTTTAATCTTATAGTTGTAAATCAATGTATTTTTTGTATTTTTGTATTTAACGGTAATTTATTAGGTGCTATTGTATTTCAATGTATTTTATCGTGTTGTAAGCCGCCCCGAGGTTTCGGCAAGGGGCGGCATAGAAATGTTAATAATAATAATAATAATAATAATAATAATAATAATAATAATAATTGCGCTCACCTTGTTTGTGGTGTAGCTGTCCCAAATGATCAGCTTGCCATCCTGTGAGGCACTAACGAGAAGCCTGGGGGGGGGGGCGTGAAAAACACAAGATAAAAGGTGAGCAAAGCGTACCGTGGGCAAGAGACCAAGTGTTCGCTTGCAGCCCGCCTCTCTTCTCAAAAGCCCTTTTTCCGTACGGGGAAACCCAGGCGGTACAAGCTGCCCGGAATGCCGGGCGAGCTCATCCAGAGATCAGCTAAGATGACCAAGCTCTCCCACTAATCAGTGTATTGAACTGGTTCTCACTGGCCACATCTGGATGAACCAATCCTGCATACAGCCCTTTCCTGTCGCTGCTTTGCTCTTCCTTTGCATAAGCAAACTCGGGTACTCCAATTAGCAGCGACTTCCTGAAATACCCAAACTGAGAATTAAGACTGATAGCTTCCACACAGACCAGGATTCAGAACCTGAGGGTGGTAGGCACACCGCTGAAACTTTGCTCTTCTGGCACTAGATCTTAACCAGTTCAGCGAACACTTTCCGTAACACAAGTTAACACACAATTCAACTGGACATAGGTGGTGAACTTCTCTATTCTTGAGGTTCTAAAGATCGAGGCTTCTGTAAGATGCTTAAAGGTAGCAGAGATCATTTAACGTGTATAAATAAGCTCAAGTGAATTAGTAAGATCACTTTCATTAGATTAAAAAGTCACCTTCCAACAGCTTCTGCTGAGTCAGTCACTGTTTGCCTTGAGCAAACAAAGCCACAATTTTAAAGAGAGAGAGATAAGGAAACAAAGCCAAATATTTGTGTAATTACAAAATTATAAGGACCTGCATGATGGAAGCCGATGACCAGCTCATTCATGCTGAACTCTGTGTCTCCGAATAGTTAAACACACCGAGGGTTCAGAAAAAGCATTTGATACTGAGTTTAAGACAGCCACAAGGCCTATTCTATCTTTAGAGCTCTCTAGAAACCCTCCAATACCGCAAATGCTTTTTTTTTTTTTTTTTTGGCGCTCCTACCACAAGAAAGAAAGGGGCAATGGTATTTCTGGAAATGGAGGTCCATTCTGCCATTAACAGAAATATTATCTGGCACTGTTGTTCAGCTCCCTCAGTTCTAGAGCAAATGGCCAGGATTATGAAACTTCCCACGAATTGCGACTGCGCTCGTACCTTTGCACAACGGAGGGGGGGACAAACCTTCCCCCTCTGAGCAGCCATGCAGGAAAGTGGAATAGCAGCAGCTGCCATGTTTCCATGGCCCAGCTGAGAAGCAGCACCCCATGAATCGACCAGAGATGAACGGACACCAAGGTGATACTTCAGCAGTGTGAGCAGAGAGAGGGAAAGGCTTGCCTCTTTCTCTCGCACCACAGACAGAAGGGTTGTGCCCAACTGCGAATGATTTCGCCCTGTTAATACATGCCACCGCTTCTTCCTTCTGCTAAATGCTTTCTCTTACTCTTTCTTTCCCCTGTACGATTTTGTTGACTAACTCCTTCAGGCACGGACCTGTCTTTTCTCTGTGTTCCTCTGCAAAGTGCCATTTAGAGCAGTATAAACCACAAACGGCTGATGACCAAAGAAACGCATTCGAAGAAAGACCACAGTATTTCGAGTAGGAGCAAAATATAGGGGGGCTTTCTCGGGCGATTCTCCTTGCCCACTCCTTTTTCAAGGCATCTAAAATGCGACAGTCGGCAATGGGGCCGGTTCTGAGGTCCTTTTGCAGCACTCACCTGGAATCGGTCCCCCAGTGCATTGCATAAATTTTAGCCAGGTGTCCCCGCAGTGTTCTTCTAGTGCGCATCTGGATGCGGCCCACTGGATCGATATTGGCTGTGATCTAAATGGGAGGTGAATTGGGCACATCTGTAAACAGCTGCCGCACAAGCATTTGCTGTCAGGAGACCTTTGAAGCAGCAAGCCTGCCTCCCTCTTTAGCGTGAGCATTTCCACAGCAAACAGCGCCTTCCTTGGCTATTTATGCAACTCTATGGGCTGCCCTACTAGCACTTGCCCTCAGAAGAGCAAAAAACCCTGGAAAAAACAGACTGACAGCTGAAAGAGTACAATAACAGAACAAACCTGACAAACAAACCGAAACGTTTAAGCAGAAAATACCGAAGGCCCAATGCTAGGCAAGTTTAGACAGGGAAGGGCCTGCAATTCCCTGCATGTCCCGGCCGGCTCTGCCCTGAAGAGCTTAGTGAGCCAGCAGTAAAATTAAGAAGGACAGCAAGAGGCTGAAAAATTGGGAAGGAGGTGGCTTTAACTTGGCATCTAAATAAAAATAAATAAATAAATGTGTATGCTGAGGGTGCCAGGCAGATCTCTCGGGGAAGGGCATTTCCCAGATGGGAGCCACTCCAAAGTTGGCCCTGTTACAAGGAGCGGATTTTTTTTAAAAAAACACACCTATATGCAAAGGCTTTGCCACCACCAAGATAAGCCTGCAGAGCTGCCCTGAGTTATCTGTAGCTGCAAGAAGCAGGGGCCAGGCCCCCTTACCAGAGAAGGGCACAGAAAGGCTCACTCAGGACTGCTCAGCTTTTTGCTTTCACTCCCCTTCTCTGGACTACTTGATTTTAATGCATATAATTAAGCAAATATCGCCCCCCCCCACCCCGCATGTACATACCCTCCCTCACCATCATGGACTTGCGGAAAAGAGCCCTCTTGTCTGCAAAAGAGTCAGACAAGCGCCAAGGTCTTTCTTAATCCTTGAGCAGCTGCAGGACTTGGTTGCCTCAAACAAGCACCCTTCCGAGAAACCGCCACTGCCTAGGGAACGGCCACATAAGCTCGGGCTAGTTTGTTGCTGAGAAGTCAGAGAAGTTTATAGTCAAGTCCCCTTTTGAAAAATAAATACGAGGACTCAATTTTCATTCTGTGTCGATGTAGCAAGGATGCAAAAGCCGCATTCCCGCCTCTTCTGGAAATCGGTGGAGGCAGCTGAGGGAATTTCTGCTCCTGCTGTGCCTCTCTCAAACCCTTCCCCTGCCGTGATGTGCCATCAAACCCTCTCCAACTTATAAAGCCCCCCAAAATGTCCTGGGAAGAGCAGCTCCGTCCAGCTCGCACAGGTTCCAGGCTGCAGCTTCCTTGAGGGATGCAATGCCTTCTGAGGCAGACCAACGGACGCAGCGGAAGCACTTTTGGAAGCGCAAGCACGACGCTTCTCTCCACCATCAGGAACAAGCGCAATGCTCGGTGCGGCAGCTCTGCACCTTCCCCAACTTGGTGACTTTCAGAGGCATTTGGACCACAACTCCCAGAATCCTCACCCTACCGGGCCACTGGCTGGGAATTCTGGGTGCTGCAGGCCCAACATGCCTGAAAGGGGCAAGGCCGAGAAAGGCTGCCCTTCAGCATTGCAAAGGGAGGGGCCCCAGGTGGCGGGATGCTGGCTGTCCTTCTCTGCCCCACAGAGACAGCTATTCCAGCTAACCAGGACTTACAGTCAACCAGCCCTGAGACCAGCTTCAACCCTGGTTTGCTGCAAACCTGGATTAGCAATAAACAGGGCTATTGGGTTAGGTAAGCCTCAATTATGTTTAAGGCATCCAGAGGACAGACTGAGCAACTAAGGCTAAGAACTAAGGGAAGGAATTCCATGTGCGTCTTCCAAAGCCCATACGGTGACCGAATCTTATCCAGTGTTAAAATGAGGGCAGCTTAAGGAGACTTTATTCTAATGGAAGTGGAGTATCTGCTGTCGAAAGAATTCAAAAGGGCAATCATGCAGAAATCCTCAAGTGAGAGGTTGCTACTGTACTTCATAGAGTCACAGTTGTGTCTTTCTACAACTAATGTTACTGTATTTAAACACACACATGCGGTCTAGCTTGATGACGAAAGGTGCACTCTTACCTGAGCCAATGTAGCATCAGCACATGCTTTCCGGGCATCCTGAAATAAAGGGAGAACGAGAGACAAAATGCTCACTGAATGATCAGACACCAAGCCGTAACTCTTCAAGGACTAAGACAAACAAAGAAGCCAGAAAGAGCCTTTTCTAGTGACACCTGAAAGTAACCCAAGAGAGTTGGAATTGCATTTTTGCTTTTTTTGAGAGTTGCATGTTTTGAGAGTTGCATTTTTTGGAAGCCACCAGAAATTTAGAAAAGGAGTTGCCGCAAATGGGAGGGTTGACTTTGTCGAGTTGCTTTATCTGTAGAAGCAAAATCTGAGATGATAAAACAGCGGCAAAGCTCACTTTTACACAAATACTGCTTCTCTAATCAGCCTCCTGAAACGCTGTCTTGTTACTTTAAGGAGCCAGTCACAGCCACAGGGGAATTTTGTAGTCAAGGTCAGCGGAGCTAAAGACGGTCTAAATCCAGCAGATTCAACTGACCAAGGGATCCGGCACCATGCAAGGTGCTCACCAGGATTTGAACAATAAAGGTAGAAAGCGATGAAGCAAGCTGTCATTGGAAGGCTATTTTCCAATAGCAATCCCATTCTTGGTCATTCTCACTGTGCATCCTTACAACAGTCCTGTAAGGTCCCTCTTTTATGACATGGAGCACTAGGGGGAAAACCACACAGAGCCAGTGGCTTTGGGTCTGGATTTTCTTTCCTGGCTTTACCCCAGATTAAATCCACTCAGGCCTCCGAACAGGTAAGCATCATGTAGAGAAAGTTAAACGGGTTTATTTGATGTACGCCATGACCATAATCACTCTGTATTATTCGTGAAACACCCAAAATGTCCTAAGTGCTGTGCAGATATTAAAAGCAAAATATTTTATATTGTTATATTTTATATTGTTACTATTGTAATTTTTTATTATGTTGTAAGCCGCCCTGAGGCTTCGGCGAATGGGGCGGCATATAAATGTTTTAATAAATGAATAAATACAATAAATACTCCCTGGCTTCAGATTGAGAATCGAGCAGACGTGATACAAAAGGAGAAAGGGCCAGAAGAGGAGAACAAGTGAACCTGGGCACCGATCTTTAAAGTTGCACAGAGCAGAGAGAGGACCAGCGTCACAGCTGAGCCAGAGAAGTGGGCCTTCCCAACCCGCGTCTCCCTGAGCTACAGACAGAAAGACGGAGGACACGAACGGACAGGCAGCCTGCTCAGGAAGGAGCTGGCAAAAGATCGCATCTAAAAAGCACACGCTGCAGAGCACGGGGCGGCCCGCCGCGCAACAGCCACAATGGCTGCTGGGAATAAGGGGGAAGCGCCGCTGCTGTCGCCACCCTGATTTGGAAGAGATGGCTCCAAAAACAGACAATGCCAAAGGCGGAAGAAGCCTGCCTCCCTGGGCCAGAGGTCCCGAAAGAGAAGTCGGAGGCCATCGTAGCGCTGCAGGGCTACATTCCATGGCGCTATATATATTTGGCAGTAGGTGGGAAGCATACCAAAAATAGCCTGAGCCACTGCAGTTTAGGAGTTATATTTGTTATATTTTTGGAGAGCCGTGTCTTTGGGATTTTAAGTTTCTCTCACGCTGCGTTTGACACAGGAGCTCTGTGCGCGCCACCGATTCTCTCAGGGGCGTATGGTGTTGCATGGGCCACAAAAGGCTGGAGAAACGTCCAGTTAGGTGGTGGTTCTGATTCGGCAAGACCGAGCAGAGGAGCAACACCGTTCGTGCACCGGAAAGGATGCCCGTGCACAAACACCCATGCTCCATGGGGTGGTGTGAATTGTGTTTGCAACAACCTTTGCCCCCGGATGTTGTTGAACGACAAGTCTTGGCCTCACCAAGCATGCCAGCTGGGTGCCATGGGCATCCTCCACCACCTAGGGGGACATGGCTAGCCAAGTCTGGCCTACAGTTACTGCTAAACAGCTCCTCCCAGTTCCAGAAACTGCTGCTTCGCTGTAGCATTTCCCAATACACCTCGAGCCGAGTGGAGTTTTTGTTCTTATTTTAAACAAGAGAGCCACGCAGGAGAGCGGAATACAGAAAGTCTCCTTAACTGGAGCCAAAGCCTTTCTTTTTGTTTAAAGAAGTTTAGAATTAATGAAAGCAGGAAGACACGGATACTCGCTTTTTCAACCGGTTATGTATACAGCGGCTAGGAAATTTGCGAGATGTCCCACGACAGCCATTATATGGATGGATTTCACATTACGTGGTTTTATTTGGCGAGCGACGGGAATGGGTAAGGGTGATACATGGTTATGTAGGCTTGTAAGAGCGCACGCTCATTTTGTGCTTTTGTTATGGGCCTGACTGACCTTTTTTTCCTTTCATTAAAAGCCCGGAAAAGGAGACTTCAATACATACAAAATTGTCCACAGACACCGATGGTCAATCTGTGGCCAATATTATGCAGCAGACAGGATGGGCTCTTCTCAGTCTGATGCCCTTCAGGAAACGGACAGGAAACTAGGGGGCTGTACCCCAAAACATCGGGAGCTCACAAGTGCTCGCATTCAAACACGGGGAGCCCACAAGCTCATTTCCCCAGCTTTCTTAAACCAAATTTCCCTGATTCGCCCAACTTTCCCTGATCATGACACCCGGAATCGGGGATGTTTTGTGCCTGTACTGGCAGGCACCTGTTTCAACAGTCGGTGTGGTTAACCTCAAAAACATGCACAGACACAGCACGATTCATAATAGGATTTTACGCACTGGTATGCTAAGCTCTGCTCTAAATCACTCTGACACAGAACTCCTCAACTATAAATAACCTTTGGGAGAAAGCAGGGTACAAATGTAAACACAGGAAGAAGAAATAGGCTCCAGGCATCTATAAGTCAAACACACAGATGTACACACAGGTTCAAGCAACCTTGCAGGACCTTGGCCTTTATTTTCACATCTGCCCCCTTCGACTCTCCTCAACCATGTCAAGAGCTGGAACTTTAGGTTGGGGCAACTTAGGTTGCAAATTCAAGAAGAAAAGCGCCTCTTGGTATTTTCTGATCTACCACCAGGCTAGAGAGCTGAAATGCAGTTCCAGGAGGCCACAGTTACGTCTGTTTGGTTAATGCATGAATTTATTTTCGCTGTTGCGGCTGCCAGGTGTCTTGCTTTGCAAAACGTCCTCATGCGCTTGGCCATATTGAATCTAAAGCGACGTTGCCCCTTCGGACGTTCCTTCTAAAATACAGAACCGTGGAACATGTCAGAAAGGCTAAATGGCACATGTGACTCCGAGGTTAATACTCTTTTGTGGGACCTATAATTTCAGTGCCTGCCTAGTTTTATTGTTTGTCTAAGCTTTCAACTAGAAGGAAAGAAATCAAGCTTATTCACGCTGAAGACTGTTATGACATGCCTCGACAGAAAATAGTGGGCTGAGTCCGGATTCAGTCATTCTCATCATTTTAGCAACTGTGGTGCTAAAAGCTTTTGGCACGGACCGGCTGTGTTGTTGTGGTGGACTGGAGTACTCAGCTACTCGGGAAAAGCAAGGCCAGCTTCAGTAACAGAAGCGAACACTCCAAGTCCAGCTGGGAGAAAAGCTTCACACATGAACAGCGGAGGGCCGAGAAGGGGCCCAGGACGCAGGGCAGCGGAGGGAAAAGGGGTCCCAAGAAACAACAGCTTGGGTGGGAAATGAGGCTGCAAGAATGCATGGCTGAGAAGGAAACTGGGGTGAGTAGAGAAGCCCTCAAACTAAGATCCGCAGGTGATGTGACAGGCACAGGAGTGCAGTGATCAAACCGGCAAAGGCGGCAGGCTTGGTCCGGAAATGCTGACCATAACGAGCACAGGCCTGCAGAAAGCAGAAGCGCCAAGGAAGCGGGACTTGGGTGAAAGCCGGGTGGAAGCACAGCAGACGCAATGGCTTGCCCAAGGCTACAGACTTCTGCGAGCCGTGACTTCTCGCTGGATCTGGAGTGCTCTTAGCCGGGTGCCCTAAGGCGCCATGAGGGCCGAGGGAGATGGGTTATCAGAGAACCCGTCCTCGGGCTGCTGGCTTTTAAGATGGGAGAAAGGGACTCCTTCCCTCTGCAAGCCCCTTCTCCCCTGCAGACAACGAAGGCAGACTACATTGGTCCCCTGAAATAAATGCCTCAGGCGGGAAGTCTCGAGGGTGCAAATCACAGCCTACTAAGTCTTCTGGTTTCCTTCCTCCCCAGGAAGCCGTTTTCAAAAGCACTTCAAGGGGCCAGTGTAAGAAATAAATATGGGATGACAGCGGAAAAAGGCGCTGCTGTGAATGGCTGTTTAACTGCTCTTTTAAAATGTTGTCTTCTTTTTATTGTTATAATTGAAATTATTATTTCCAGTTCCTTATATATTTGTTCCATTAGCTGGCTTAGAAGCATCAGATGCAAGATGGCCCAGAAATCTTTCACACAGAGTAAGAAAATAAATTCTCTACCAACAGACTTTTTAGAAGAGAATAAAGACCCCGCCCCAATCTAAAATAGGTAAGAATGTTTGGCTCGAATACATACTCTAATTTGGTTTTTCAGTTGCTCCGCCTCTTGGCGTAACTGGTCAAGTTCACTCATCTTCCCGTGCTAAAGGTGTGCTTTGATGACACCTCTCAGATGCTCAAAAATCTGGAAAGAGAAATAAAAACCATTGAGGCGAGTGGAACGGAAATAGCATACTTACATGTTTACTCACAAGTAAGTCCAAGCAAACACACACAGGACTGCAGATTCAGAGTCAACATTAGGGCCACTTATGGATTTAGACCACAGACACCGATCCGGCTTCAAGGCAACCCAAACTCTGTGCTAAGTAAGGCTTATTTCTACAGTCTGTGTAAATTACTCGATTTGCACGTTTCCCATATTGTGCATAATTTGGCCTGCCTTGCTAGTCACGGTGAAGGGCAAAAAGCTGGGTGTGGCCCTGAAGCCCTATGCCACCTTAGCAGAAATAATCAACAGCTTTTCTTGTCTGCTGTTTTAAAAGGTTTTTCTCACACACTTTCTAGCAGATTTGCAGGTGCAGCAGCCAGAAACTTGCTTTGAAGTCAAAATCCCCTGGATGTTGTGCCCAACATGTTTTCTCAGTTTCCTACTTTCCCACAGAATTGGGGGAGGATAAGAACATGCAAGACAATGCTAATATGCAACCTGCTTCACTTGAAGAATCATTCATTACTGCAATTTTAGTCACAATGAAAAACCTTGTCCAGCACAGGGGGGAAAATGCAGTTCTGTCCTCTATCTTCAAAGGATATCCGTAAACAGAAGACGGCAGTTTTAGCTGGGCTGTTCTTTTCCTTCCTTCCTTCCTTCCTTCCTTCCTTCCTTCCTTCCTTCCTTCCTTCCTTCCATCCATCCATCCATCCATCCATCCATCCATCCATCTAGGGGACTTCTATGCCGCCTCATTTGCTAAAGCCTCGGGGCAGCTTTATTTTACTATCTACATCAGAAAGGACATCTGAGTGCGCTGTCCTTGCTCCCCCCAAAATTTTAAGCCACAGCGGGCTGCTTGCAAAGTGAGATTTGGGCCAAGCAGGACAGGGTGGTCTGGGCAGTGAAGCACAACGGGTTGAAAAAACCCAATTCCAGCCAATGGGGAACCCAACTGCTGCACGGAACCAACTTATCTACCAGCTTCTGGGAAATGGGGACAAGACATCATCCTGCCAGCCAGAGGGATGAACATAGGGAAGGTTCAAGGAAGATTTCCCAAAAAGAAAAAGATGTCCGGGTTTTGTACTGAACCAGAGGATGCCTAATTTTGCAAGCCTTCAAACCACATAGGGCTAAGTCACTGTTTCCACCATCTCCGCTCCTCATTCTGCTTCCCTGATCAGGCAGGACTCAAGCTGTTACTGCTTTACTCAGATACCGCAACCTCCAATTCCTCTCAACTGGCCAACCCACAGCTTTCTTTCCTCTCCGCCCCTCTCCAGCTTGGCTCGTCAGTTCCGAAAACCAACACCCCGTTTCTTCCCAGCTCCTCTTCCATTTAGGAATCATTGCCTTACCCATGCTGTATGTGAGGGAGAGAACCACTTCAAAATGACTTGGCTTTTCAAAGAAGCCACTCTTGGAAAGCTGACCAGATACCAAAGACACCCCCCCCCCAAAAAAAACCCAACACAGACCAACCGGCCTAGCAGTCCAACACTCCTGACATCACTGTTTGAAACTTCTGAATTTGGAGACAACCAAAACTGAAACCAAAGCACCTATTTTAAGTTGCTGCCTGCCAGAGATACAATCCCTCCATTGAAGCGGAAGCTATATAACCAAGCCTTCAAAATCCAACGTTACGTGTTTCGATCAAAGTTTGGCTCAGGCTTCGAGAACGTCTACCTTCTCATGAACGTGCTCCTCCGTTCCCCCAGTTTCAGTAATTCCAGATCCAATTTCCACACGGACACAGGTCGAACTGCCTGTCTTCTGGTTGCGGTGTCATTGCTAAGCCTTAATAATCTCTTGGCTAAGCTTAGCTACTCATTCAAATCCAGTTAAGATGAAACCTACATGCTGTCCTTTTCAAGATCTATTTCTAGTCGGGTCTCCTTGAAAGAGCACGCGTCAGCCTCTCTCCAACCTGGGGACTAAGGCACCCAGGGGTCACACAACACCCCGGCAAATGCAAACGCCTCTTCCTTCTAATTCGTTGCAGCTGGTAGTAGAGAAGGGCTGCAGCACCTCTGCACTACTCCAGCTCTAGGTCAAAAGTAGCACGGAGAGGCCACCGGAGCCGCCTCAACGAGGCTCGAAAGAGGCAAGGAGACAGGTCCCGTAAGTTTTCTGCTGCCTTTTCTGGCTCAAGGGCAGATACTGTAATGCAAGTCCTCTCGTCCTTCTCCGGAAAACATCACCGGTTCCCCCAGTTTTGCCAAAAGCCACCTGCCGGAGTGGGGCGGAAATTATTGCCTCTTCCACCACTCTGCTTGGCAGAAGAGCTTCTTTCTAAACTACCCTGCAAAGAGGGCAAAGCTTGCAGGTAAGAAAATGTGCAGATTAGTAGCGTTGGGGGTCTTGTTCATAAGCCTACGTCCCCCTTCTTGGGAAAATCCCGAAGCCTGCAGAATTACCGAAATACTTCAAGACACAACATCTTAAGGTTCAGTGATGACAGAATATTGGGTATCACTTGGCAAAGAAATTGGGGGGGGGGTGCGCTGGGGAAGAAGAGGAGGAGGTAATGGCGGAAAGGCATCCTTCAGGAGGCAGCGCTCTCCTTTGCTGTAGGTCCCACTAGTCCGTAAGGGCATTCCAGACAAGCTCAGTCCACGATTTCCCAACGTGCTGACACATGCAACATGGCCATGCAAAAGGGTCAAGGGCAGAGAAGAGACGGGTTAATGATTAGGGTTCCCAGAAGGTACACCCTTTCGTTTCACCCGTAAGACGGGATGACGGCCATCCATACTTCCCGAGATTGCTGTGGCTTGGCTGCCGTTGCCCATTCGCACGGGAAATAAAATTCTACTTTACACGCCAGCACTGCAGCCCCCCAGCACAGACCCTGCCCCCTTTGCACAATTTGCAAGCAAGGTTAACACAGGAGGGTTTGCTACTATTCTACAGGCAAAGGGTGTCCAAAGCCACTATTCAACGGTCTAATTACTGGCTGGGGGAGAGGGTCTGTTACATTACAGCCAGCCTTCCCTCCAAGAGAGCATGTGCAATTATCTCCCTTCCGCCTTTTATGCTCAGGAGAACCCTGCAGAAGAGGGGAGGCAAAGAATCTGGAACAGGACTGACGTCACCCACGAGCCAGCACTCTCCCCATGGTGCCACACTGGACCCCCCTCCCATGTTTCCCCCCTGGCAAGTGCACGCAATCCTCCTCTCCGTTTGATTCGCACAACAACCCTGCGAGGTAGGCTAGGCTGCGAGTCGGTGGCCGGCCCAGAGTTACTCAGTGAGCTTCACGGCAGGGGGGGGTCTAGATGCCCGGGCCCCAGTCCAACGCGCGACCCCCATCCGCTGTGTTTCCTCACCAGCCACCTTGAAGGGCTGCCGATATGACAACCCGCAGGCTGAGGAAAGGCTTGCCAAGGCAAGCTCACCTGTCGACCAGGAGCGCATCTAATCTGCTGCCCTGTGGAAATCCGCTTAGCGCATCCGCACACTTTCTCGGCGGCTCACAACCTGCTCTGCAACCGCAGTGCTTTCGTTCTGAGTTGTGCCCTTCATCAAAATCTGTAGTAAACGAAGGTCATGGGTTGCGCTTTCTTTCTTCCTTCCCCTCCCCTCATTCACAATCTGAGGCTGGGCAGGCATACCTGGAATGCCCACCGCCTGGTCAGCGGGGCCCCGTTTATGTGATCCTTCACTTCCCACACGGAACATGACGCGCACGCTGGCTCAGAGTGGTGGGAATTGCAATCCAGAACCCCTGGAGGGAACTCAGACTGCAAACTCACCAGATCTATCTTGCTTTTGAATCACCAGGGAAAACACTCTTCTTTATTACGGCAGGGGCATTTGTTTTTAAATGTGCAACTCCTTTAACATGGCCACTGTTTTGTGTGTATTAGATCTACTCCTCTTCTTCTAAGCTTTTTTTTTTAAATGACTGTATTTTTTTTATGAACTGGGATTACTGGCCTCAGCTGCAATACATAAAAGTCTGGGAGACCAGTTCATCGATCTGATATAATACGGAGTCTGTACATCTCCACTGAAAAGTGCAAGTCATTTGAAAAAGTTCCAAGCCTCTAGTTTGTCCAGGAGTAAATGGAGAAGAGCAATTCAGATTAAGTAAGGAATGTGTTCTTTGGCAGGGTGAGATTCTGCAGCAAGCCCTCGGATGAAGGGCAATAATGCTCAATAAATCAATTTTTGGCATTAGGGGACCAGCAGATTGCACACTGGACAGGAAAATTATGCACGGAGGTAATTGAAAAGTATATTCAGTATTCTATGTATTTCAGCACTAAAACTTTTCCAAGTTACATTTTTCTCAGTATACTAGAAAGCTGACTTCTACACCCAAACATGTAGCTGCTGAAAGAAAAACAAACCTGAATTGGTATTTTAATGATACTTTGTAAATAACTTATATTTGGGCTTATCTGGCAAGCATTTTTCCACTGAACTGCTTTTCAGGCAGCATACACGTATACAAGAACACTTTTCTCCAAATTTAACAGAAAATTAAGCTGTGTTTTTGCTGCTTAACCTTATGGAGCTACAAAGATCAAGCATGGAACATGAAGGATAAGGATTGGGATCAAAGGAAAAAAGGCAGCTTTGAATCAACTGCCATGTTAAGTATCACCAAATGGTAGCAAAGAATTTGAAGAATTAACTAAACTAACAAGGAAAAACACGCAGTAATTGCCAAAATCCAAGTTAGCTAACTGTTACATAATCCTGAAAAGCAAGTTCTATTTATAGGTGACAAAGTTAAACCAACATAAATGCAATCCATGTCCAGTGAGATATTTCTTTTGGGCTTTTTTCCTGGAACCCAGGGGGCTAGTTCAAAAAGTTGCACGTCTGATTTAAAATACATCCTGGACACACACATTGATGTTACAGGACCAAGGTTTTCAAAGATGGTTGTCAAAGCACAACTTCCGCAAGGACACCGAGGTGAATTATTGCGAAACAAGAGGCAGGCCTGCTCAATACAGAGAATCAAGTTACCAAACAGAATTTCCCCCTCTCTACTGTGGTTTTGCTTGACCATTCAAATGAATGAAAATGGGAGGTATTTTCCTGCCACACACTCAGATCAGGAGACTTTAGGACAAAGTTGGGATGCAGTTACCGCTTGCTTAAGTAATTTGAATTGATCACCCAAGTATTTTGCTGTGTTACAGCCTAATTTTTAAAGCCATCATAAGGAGCCATCTTCCCTTCTTCACAGTTCTCAAATGTTATGCTCCAAGAGTTTATATATTTTTAAACATGCGGGTATTTGTGTGGCAGATCTCCCCAGAAAACCCGTGACTCCAGTAAAACACTTCTGATGTTGTGCTAGAAGAAACTCACTGCAATTTATGTCAGAACGAGTGTTTGTCCGGATACCGCCCGCTGTTTAATATTCACTGGGCTTCTGTGTTTGAGGAGCAATTTCTTACTAAGAAATGGCAGGCATCTCTAAGGTACAGTTCCATTAGACAGAAT